GCTGAACAAGATAGGCACAATACAAGAAGATACAGCTTAATTATCTGGTGACACACTTGTTTGATAAATCTGTTCTCTAACAGAATGTTGATTAGCCTATTCAATCTGACAGCTAAACGTATTTCAAAACGGCCAACTACAGTCCATGCTTTGTTGCATTTCTTTTGCATCACTTACGTGGCAAAAGCAGCAGTAACTGCCTACAACACACCCCACTGACAAATCCAGAGACATAAGACAATCTCCCCCAAGCTTGAAATGATAGCAACTATCCCAATGCTTGGGAACATATTGCCTAGAGGCTATCAAACAGCTAGAAAATGGCCAAAATGCATCCTATTCAGCTCTAAACAACTGTTGTGTAGTTCCTTATGTACAAACAAATACAAATCACATTTATACAACATTTTTCATTTCCCGAAACATTTTTAACCTACTTCATACCTGCAAGTAAGCGAGAAACTGGGAGATGAATGCTAACTTTTTCCTGAGAAACACAGTATCTGATGGTCTCAACTGAATGACCACACATACTGAGAACAATAGGCTGTTCTCCATCAGTAAAACCACTATGACACTGCATCAACACAGTCAGGCATTTCTTGTAAGCTTCAATTAACACTTTTTCCTAAAAGAAAGATTGCAAAATTAAGATAAGGAATCCAACAAAAGGAGCTGAATTAAGGAGGGCACAGATTGCAAAACTCATACTGGTATATCTGATTAGAAAAACACCCACTAGTGTTATTTTTTTTTAAACTGATACTATGGGAACTTTCTGAGCAACGATCATGCTAGGTTAGTGAAACCTGCACATTAACTAACAGTGACAGATTAAAGCCAGCTTGAATGTTCAAATATTCTAGGATCACTTGTTCCTCAGCCATATTTTACCATGCTGAAGTTCTATAGTCTTAAAACATGAAACACTTATGGAGTAGAAACCTGATTTATAATCAGGCAGCATTTGGTAGATCCAGGACCTACTCTATTCCCTCTTCTCCCAAAATTATAACCTGATAGTGTTGTGATGGTCATGACTGTCAGATGTGCGACAGAACTCTCTGCAATATTTTTTAGAAGGCTTAACCACGTTCTTATGAATTGGTCAGTTCAAGCCATAAAAAAGATGTGTTTAAATACAGAAAAGATCTGCACTTGCTCAGAGAAGCTGATCTTGGCTCATGGTGCAGTTACGTGTTCAGCTCAATCGTTACACAAATTAATGTTTAGGTTTTTCCCCCTTTCACATATTCACATGGAAAAACAGTTCAGAAGGAACTTACATCCAATGCACACCAGTCCTGCATCATTGAAATAACAAGTGTTAATTTCATCTGCAATGTAAATGCTGCCTCCCATTCCGGTTCCATTTCTATGTGTTGGCCTACTTGACGAGTTATTGGATCCATACCCTAGAGCAAAAAGAATTATGCATTTCAACAACACGTCACTGAAATATGTTGCTAACGTTAGCATAAACGTGATACCGTGGCCACCTGTCCTTATAAAATATTGTTGCTACAACAGGGAAAAAGAAGCTTGGGTCCATCTGAACAGGAATTATACATATTGAAATAATAAAAAGAAAATGAAACAGAAATTGGAAGAGAAGAATACTGGGACAACAAAGGTTCTGGATTCAAGCTCCATTTATTATTAACATTTGTGGAGATTTCAGTATTATGAGCAATACAACAACGTTTGCATACATACATTATCTTACATTTTGGTTTTTAAATATATTTTCTAGGGATGTGCTATTAAATGCAGTTAAGTACTAACTAAAGACTGGGTACTACAGTACCTAATCAGCTCTTGGCATAAGAAGGAAAAAAAAACCCAGCATGATCTGAGGATTACAACATATTCAAGAGAACATGGTAAACAGACTACTGAAAGCTAAGTGCTGAGAAAGGTGTGCTACTGAAGTTCTGAAAAGTGGGAGTGATTCTGACATATACCTTACGGATCACACAGTCAATTTGCCCTTGTAAAAGCTACACTGCTTTTAGAATAGTCCTCTTAAGGTAACACAACACATGAAAGGGCTGGGGAAAAAAACAAAACAGTGAAGAGATCTATTTGTATGTCAGGAACTACATATTCCTCAATACAAGGAGCAACTCTGCTGACACTTAAGGAGTAACTGGAGCTCTCGCTATGAGGGAAAGTTGGTTAAGATGGACCAAGATTTCGGTCACACAATTAATTGTCTTGTCTGACTCTACGACTGCAAAATATGCCCAAAATGACAATTTTCTTTTTGAACCGCCCTTCCTTTTTATTGCCCTCTACAACAAACTAAATTTTAAAAAGTTAGGTGAGACGTTATGTTTCAGGAAAACATGACAAGTCCAAAAGTTATACTGCACTGAAGTTACAAAATGAACAGTACATTAATTTTCTTCCATTTTTATACCATGATAGCTAACTTCCTGCTTTAATTTTGCAAAATTTTGTAATTCACAGATTTACATACCTGCATACATTTGAGTAATTCTAAGAAGGCATCAAAACCCTCTAGGAACTTGTGCCTCAAGTCATCTGACCACTCAGTTGGCTTACTTATCAACACATACCTGGGTACATTAAAAAGATGCAAGTGTTAAGTTTATTTCATTTTCTTCCTCCTCAACTGATCAAATCAGCACATATTTGATATACTTACTTGAGATCCAAAATAAGGCTCTGAACACGCCTGAATTTGAAAGCCTGCAGAGCAGTGTAACGTTCAAACTGAAACCTGCCTTGGATGTCACGGTGCCTTAAGTGGTCCATGAAAGTTCTGATGATAGTGGTCATGAGATTTTCTTCTGTAATTAGCATTCGAGCCTATGCCAAAGTACATTGAAATTTGCTGTAACTAACAGACACAGCTAACAAGAGTTTCACACTGCACCGTGAAGTTCATGAAATACATGAATTTTTATCAAAAATAGTTACATCAATAATGGAAAGAACATATTGAAAGCAAATCTTCCAGACATTCACAGAAGAAAAAAGTAATCTAGGCAGAAATTATCAAAATCCAGATCTCTTTCTTCAGATCCCTTCCATACAGAAGTTGGACTGTGGTTAGGCTCCTGCTAACGTGTATAATTATGACACAAGATCTATGTTGTTAAGGGTCTTATAATTAACCTACACCTCCCTTTAAGTACGTGTTGTCTCCTCTCATATAATTTACGTATGAGCCCTTTAGGGGAGCGACAGCTCTTCCGTCTTCTGCTTACAAACTGTCAAGCGCTGTGGTGAACAGAGTGTCTTCTGAACTGCTAAGCAACTGTATAGTGCAATTTCCACATGGAAATTAAGTGATTTATGATTGCCCTCAAGGGCTACAGCATCTATCCACGTGTTGTAGGAAACAAACCAACAGGCATCGCAAAGCCTGACAGTCTTCCACACCCAACCTAACCTAACCCAACCCCACAACAGAGTAGGAGGCACCAAGAAGTTACTGACATCTCCTACTTATGAGCTCTTCCACAGCCCCCCCGTTCTGCTGGTTCTCCAAGGTAAATGGGATCAATCTTGCAGTTCTCAAACCCCATGAGGATTTTATTACATGGCTGGTAGATTCAAGAAGACTGCCCACTCTGATCTACTTCAACAACCCTGTGGTTGTTGACTAGAGCTTCTGGGTTCTACAGCTGCTAACAAAACTCTAAATTAGAGTTTCTAAAATGCTGCTGCAAGGGAAAAATAATAAAAATCTAATGGTTCACATTTTCCCCTCAAAATCACCATCAACACAACCAACTATCCTCCCTCAAACAAAAAAACCTCAGTTGCTTGAAAGCTCAAACTCTTAAACTACTAAGATCAGTTTGAAAATGTTACTGGGAGGTGGTGGGGCGGTTTTACCTTCTTCAACTTATTCAGTGAAGAATGAATGGCTTTAAATATATAAAAAAATAATTCTTAATTCATATGGTAGGAGCTTATGATTGCTTTCATGTCATCCGTCTGTTCCATCCTTCTACAAAACAAGTCAAAACCAATTTGCTTTACTTTTTTTGCATGCTTTTGAAATAGAAAACATGTAAGAGGGACACTGCAATTATTCTCCCCTAAATAAATTTTTGAAATTACTTTTTTAAAAAATTATGTATTAATACACATATTCTATCACCCCATATGCCAAAGGGAAAAATAACACCATAACCATTTGAATAATACTGGTCAGTTAAGGCTAACTGTAAGCCTGAATATTGGCAACATTCTTATTGACAGTACCAAAATTAAAAGAGGTAACACAATATTGCCCTGAACCATGGAAACAAAATCCTGAGGTCCTGTGGAATTCCCATGAATAATATCCACCCCTAGGAAACTGAAAAGCAACTTTTCTCAGTATCATAACTGCCATGCTACTATTGAATTTTAGAGCTCAAATAAGCTGATTAAATTTGGAAGGATTCAGAAACATTCATTTTTTTAAACAATTCTGGCTATGAAAGTCACAACTTTCATTTCCAGTACAGCTCCAAAGTTTAATTTGTCTAGTTCACCATACAAGCAAAGACAGACTTATTTGAAAACTGGACCAAAAAAGAGACATTTCCCAAACAGCAGTGAAAGACCAGCAGTTAGTGAGCTGGGAGAATTAACAGTGTGCGAAGAACTGTAACAAAAAATAACTGGAAACTTAAAAGAAAACATCATCTGAGTCTAGAAGTACCAAAGGAAGTAGGGAGCGTCATGAGACAGCTCCTGCTTGCACTTGTGTTGATGGGAAAATTAACAAAGTGGATCATCTATAAAACTGCACCAGAACAGCACGCTCCGAAACTGTGACAGGCAAACCATAATGTAGATTTTCTACAGTCAGTAACTGTGGCTCAGCATGATGAGGAATTTAAATGTTATGTGTGTGTGTGTCTAAATCAATGTTTAAGTACCTTTCTAAAAAAGCAAAAGAAAAATGTAAAAAGAAAAACCAAAAATACCCAGCCCCACTCTGGGAAGTCAGACTCAAACTTTGCAAAGCTGAACCCTTTAACTCATAGCAATGTACGTAACCAGTCTGACTGCTGTGCAGCAGCAGTGCCCTGCACTTCCACAGTAATGTTAGACATCTGCAGTCTTGATTCAAGAACCTTGAGTGGCTTTTAACAAATAAAGATTTCCTTTGTTGGTCTTTTAGTACTTACAAGAGAAGGCACTGTGAATATCTGTATCGAGAGGTCAGCAATTGAGAACTCTCTGTCGTGGTCATCTTTCATAAAATCACTCTGCAATCGCTCATAGTTCTATTAAGAAGGAGGCAAAAAAAGGCAAGGAGTGCCAACTATCAGTTTTTAAAAGAAAGACAGGCACTACTCACCAGAGTAGGTACAGTGAAGAGTTGGACAGACAGAGCAGCCACCGATACTGCCCGTTCGTGATCATCCTCCATATAATCTCTCTGCAACTGCCGGTAATTCTAAACAACAAGGGGAAATTCACCTCTAATCCACACTGACCTGATTTTTTAATTTAAATGTCTGCTCTGGGAAACTTTAATGCCACGACAAAGAGAAGAGTAGCTCTTACGGATAATTACATAGGCATTTTGTACAAAGAACATGACAACTTAATCTGCTCACACGTGAGATCTACTCACTCTCATTTTCACAATAAAGGCTAGTATTTTATTTTCTACTCAAAAAAGTTATTTGTCTTCAGCAGGGTGAGCAGAATTTTGCAGTGCTGATTTGAAGCATTTCAAATACTCGTAACTGCAAAAATACTACTCAGCATAACTGAATTTCAGCACTATTTCTGAGTACTGCTGTAACAGCTTACACCTCAACAATGAGAAGTGATTAGCTCTTAAGAAGTGATAGCCTGCATAGTTGACAGTGAAGACAAAAACATCTGAACTGCTTTAGCTCTGGGGAGTCTGGAAAGCCCATTTTCTTCCCAAGAGATGAGACGCCACTATAACTAATATTTTGAAGACAGAAATAAGGTAGTCAGCATTTCATTTCAACTTTTCACTTCCAAAAAAAGGGAAAAAATTCTGGGTAACAGTTCATTTGAAGCACTGTATACTAACTAAACTCTCTTCACTAGACAGTTTTAGCATTTAATAGCTCTTTGTAAGAAAGATACTTACTCTTGCAAAGCGGATAGCGAAAAGTTTCTTGTATTTCAAATCCATAAGTAGACTGCTCATGAATAACTGGTGATACACATTTCTAGCTCCTGTCAAGAAAAATGAATGAAATACTGTGTGTCACTATTTTCTATCAACATATTATGGAAACATTTAGAAAATAAAACTTTTACAGAATGAGGTAAGTGTGCATTTCAGAGCAGAAGCTCCTTTGATTAAGGCTGTCAGGTGGTAGCAAAGAACGAAGAGGAATACATAAAACAAAATTCTTCAAGTGGCATTATTTATTACCACTGCATAAGACACCACTCAGCTGTTGAATGGGAACATAAACCTTCAAATATAGGGCAAGTCTGGCAAACAAGACCAGAACTCTATTCCTCCTCAGGATAAACAGAGGATTTTCATGGCCCGGGGAAAAAAAAAAAAAAAGAGCAGCACACTATTACAAGAAGTCCTGGGAACTGCAGTAAACTCGGCTAGTTGTGAAGCAATCTGCAAAATAATCAGCTTAGCTATCTCTGAATTTCTAGTCTGCCTGAGCAGCATCCCAGAAAATATCATCAACAGAAATAAGAACTGACTATACGTAGGTGGAAACACATGCACGTATGTACCATTTCTTTCTGTAGGTCACTTCTAAGTCAAAAGTCATTAGACTATTTCCTTAACGCAGAGTAACTATGGAATACGTGAAAAAGTAGAGAAATATTGATGTTGAAATAGAAATTGAAAAGTTACTCCTTGCCTACATCCACTTTTCATCTTACTTGTTTTATTGCTGCTCCAAGAAGTACCTCAGAACAAAAGATACCGGGCGGTGGGTAGCAATCTTCAAAATACTATATTCATGTTCAAATAAGGGATATCTATACATATCTATACATCTCATCATTCTTTGCATTTCTCTTTCTCACATCTAACCTTACATGCCCTCTCAGGATATGAAATCAGATACAGAATCCATGAGGGAAAAGAAATTAACCACCTCCACTTCCTCAAAATTACTTTTTAGCTATTCCCATTATACCAATCAGGCTTTTAAAATGTTAAGGGCTCTAAAATAACAGAACAGTAGTTTTCACTGAATGTTCTCGAAACACTTAAGAATACCTCATGAACACAAACACAAGTCAAAGCAGAAAACCTCTGCCCCATCCTCTAAAGAGAGACATTTCGGTAGATATGATATAGATGCTGAGACCCTAGAAAGCAAACAAAGCCCAAATCACTCTGTTTACTTAATTCCCCTTAACTATCACTGTCATCCGCGTATTCAAGTGAGCCTTAATTTCAGACTACTTTGAAAAATTAGATCTAAAACCAACCCCACCTCCAAATAGTCTCCTTACATTCTTGTCTCCAACAAATTTGGAATGCATCATGAAGGGACAGATTATAATAAATCAGGCAATACTATCTATAATACACCACAGGAAAAATGATCAAACATTAGCAGCTACGGTAAAGGGAAAACTTTCATGTGCAGCATTCTTTTGTATTTTGCAGAAGTTTGAGAAAACTCACCTTTCCACAGTTTAGAATCATACAGCATCAACTTATCCACAAGAGAAGAATTTTCACCATCTGGCCCCTCCTGTAAACCAACCTGACACAATATTCGACGAAGGCCATCTTAATGAAGAGAAATGTTAAGTTAGTTACAACTTAAACACAAACATGTACATTATTCTGACATACTAGAATTTTCCTAAGACACAGTAGAAGCCATAGGGCCCTCTTGACAACTGATTAACACTGCTCATATTTTGCTGGTAGAAACACAAATATTTTACACCTTACAAGTTTCACACTAACCTTACAGAACATCAGGAACCGCGTGAAAACTGCCAAACACAACGATTTGTTTCGAAGTTATGAGATAAAAACGTGCTTTCTTAAAAGTGCTGCTGGCTTACTAACGTAAGAAAAAATTATACAGCAGGCTAATTTTCGAGGATGTATTTTTTCTGTTCAGAGTCATCTCAAAAGGAAAATATAATTCATACGTGAAACAACTTATAACTTATCCATGAGGTTTTTCTGTTTACACTTACTAGCTGCTATTATTTTAAAGCTTCTCTACATATCCTTTTCTAATGGAAAGCAGTAATAATTGTTATTATATGAACCTGTAAGTTGTTATATGCTTGCAGACAAGCCTGCATCTGCAACAGAACACAACACAGACATGCTCACATTAACAGTGTTCAACCTAGCTGTGCACTGCAGGTAATGCCTATTCCCTAACACATATACACGACCTACAGGCATCAGCCCTTATTTCTGCAGGCTGCTCAGCCATCTCGGCTTCTGAGGTAGAGCTGGAAGGGGCTTAGTGCCATGTATACCATAACCTGCACTGCATGGTGCCATTCCATACAGCTTGTGAACCCCTATAGCAGTTGGGGCGGGGGGCAGGGGTTTGCCTGGCAGAGCTCAACTCCAACTACTGTTACGAAGGGTAACAAACTAATGGAAACTACTGCATTGTTCAGCAAACGGCAAACAGATGCTTATTCCTGAAGAACTGACTTTGGCTAGAAAGGACGTGGTAATGAAGCTTGTGACAAAGTTCCACAGTAAGGTTTCTCCCTTATTCACTGACAAGAGTTGGAGGCTCATTTCACAGCAATTACCCAACCTAACTTTGTGGCACAGCAGAAGACGCCAATCACCCTTTGGTCAGGGACATTTAAGTGTAACCACCCAAGCAGTGCAACTCTATCAGCCCATGTTCTAGACGAACGGTAACAAGCTGTTTAAAAGATTGAGCAGAATCTGGATGTTTGGGTGTGTTTGTTAAAAAGCTAAGGCAAACCAGCTTTTTCAAAAGTGAATTTCACAAAACCATACTCCAGAGTGCATTGCAAGGCTGCACCTCGAGATGCATAAGGCATTTCAAGCAGCTGAGCACGTAGATCACAGACAAAACGTACGCATGCTGCTTACCACCAAGCATTATTTTGGCACTTCTGAATCATAAAGGACACTGCATTTAATGAAGCAAACTCTGCAGAATTTCAGAAACACCATACACACAAACTGAAATATAAATTCGGTGCTTTCATCTGTGATTTGATACCCCATTAACATAACATATTCAAGTTACTTTCTCGCAACTGTAATTTAGTGCTGAAAATTAATGACTTTGGCATCCGGCACAAATGACGTGGCACAAAACTGGGCTTAAAGACAATGTGAAAGACTGTGCCTGCCTACACTGAAAGGAATATTTATCCCAGAAATTAAGTATTTTCATGTCTCTCCTTTCTATTAATACCTATTATTTGCCAGCAACACTGGCAAATACTTGAACAAACTGCTATCATAACTTTTCAAAAGTTTGATTTACATATCTTCAAAATCTAACTTACACAAACATAAACTACTGTCTATCACAAAAGAAACATGATAGAGAGATCCTGTGTCTGAAATCTTGGCTAGTTTTTCAACTAGCAGTCTAATAAAACATATAATCTCTGAAGAAATCTTGCACCTATGCACAACATACATGCCATATTACAGCTGAGTATGCTTTGCTAATAATTCTTGTTAACATTTACAGATGCATAGAACAGAAAAGTGCATTGTGGACTGTATCTACATTTCTCCCTATCGGCAGTTTGACAGGTTTTCCTTTTATTTCCTCTCATGCTCCACATCTTCACAACCTTGTGATTCATCAGGACAAAGGAGAAACCAAGTCAAAACAAACAGAGTCTTCCCATAAAAATGATACTGTGCATCCTGATTCCTTTGAAGAAACTTTTTTCTGAGTATATGATTAATACGTCATTGGCTTCTATACTCACCCAAAAACCTCCACACATCCTTGAATTTCCTCTGGTCTTCTACTTAGCAAAAAATCTGAAGCAATCACTTTCATCATCATTCATCGAATTATTCCTGAATAATTTTGTTTTATCTAATCAGACAGGTTATTTTCAGCTTACTGCACTCATTTAAAAAGAACTAGGGACTGAAAAATATCTTGTTGGCATACAGCATTTGACAGTGATTCTCAGCTTCTGTTCAACAGCAACTAAACAGAAAACAGTATCTGAGAAGATTAAAACTGGTAGTACTTTCATATGGAAGTTAGATCTCAGAACAGTACTTCAATAAGAGAAAATAGAATGAAGTCTGACAAGTTATTAATAGCTTTGCCTTACAGATCTGAAATAAGTAGACAAAATTGCTTCAGGAATTCAGTTTGCCTCATGAATATTCTCTCACTTGTCTCAAAAAAGTTGAAGTTTGCCCACCTGAATATCCAATAACACTGCCAAGCCAAGTTAGGAGCTTCAGACCAAAGCTCTGATGGGCAACAATAGATGAATGCATAACTTGTACTTTCAATGGCTTTGTCTGACGACTGGTATTTCTCTTAAAAAGAAAAGGAAAGAGGAGGTAATGCATATTTAGGTGGAGACTAGCATATATTTCTGTACAGAAACACAGCATTCCTACGATCAATTGCAGTAATTTATAATATTAATACATATTCTAATTACACCTACATAGGGAAGAAACAAAACCAAAAATATCTGAACTTTGTTTACCCTATTAATATTTGAAGTACCTTGTTATGCAACATCAACATATTTAGGCCAACCCGTGTTCCACTCTTGGCCACTTATCAATGTACACACTGATCTGCTGCGTTTCACCGATAAGCCGTCCCACACACAACCTAAGACAGCCATGCACATTTGTTCCTCACAACATGACATGCAAGTCACACAGCAGCCCACCAAGGGAAGAAACTGACTGTCCATGTACTGTTTTCAAAAATGCAAATGAAACACACAGAGTTAAAACAAGACTATTTCCCCTCGTCTCCACGTTAGAAACCTTAATAGTTAGACCTTACATATAAAAGTAATTTGTTCTTTGACTGCATAGGTGGCAAGTTAAAAGTATTGCACAACTTTATCTTTAAAGATATGTTAATGTTTTCAAAATACCTTAAACAGTTGAAGGCCAGTAACTCTAGTTGCGGTATTTGTTTTTCAGTGGTAGTATTATACATGAACCATTTATTTCATGTGATTAAGTACTGCACTGCAGCAGTTAAAGAAAAATTAAGTAGAAAGTATCATTCCCATGTACTTAGAAGGAATAACCTTGTATACACATACAAACACACATATGCAAAATCAACAAATATTTGTAGTTTCATACGTTGATTCAATCACTAACAGTTTCCATATTTGCGGCTGTGAAAGACAAACAACTTCATACTACAGGAGAAAAACTAAAATAGTTTAATTTCACTGACCTGACTAACATGCAATTCTAAAAGTTTACATTTGAGGCTCCTGATCAAACTATTTTCTGATAGGAAAAATTGTCTAGGAACTTCTTTTTAGGAAATTATTTCGAGTGCAAGGTAGACCATAGTAGAAAAAAAAAAAACCACAAAAAGAAAAATGAAGCATAAACCTGTATTTTGATACCTCTACTGTGCATATTGTAAACTGTCTCTCCAACATTTTGTATTATTAAAATATAAAGAGTCATTATGGTAATAACATCACAAGGCTCCACGTAGCAAAGCCTCTTTTTGATTGAGATGAGACAAAAAAGTAGATAATATTACTTACCACTATTACTGATTTTGCTTGATCACAGTACTGGAAGTCTCCATATCGCACAGACCTACGCCCCTTTAAATTTGTAAAGTAGTTAACATTACCATCAGCTTCTAAACAAGAAGTTCAATTGCTGTGTATTACATTAGTATAAAATATATAGTAAAGCTTTCAGATGCACTCTTTCTTTCATGCTGTTTTCATTTTTTAAAGTACCATATATAGCTACATAGCTGGATTTTCAAAATGCACCCTGTACTTTTTGAAAGAATATTAAATTGTATCATATATGTGGTCACCTGTTATACTAAATTTTCTGTGTATAATATTGCTTTTAAGATGTAACTATCACACTTCTTTTAAATAAAATACTGAAAACTTATCTTTAGTACTAATGCATCAACCATTAGTTTTGGTAGAATTTAAAGCTATTTCAGACATTCTAACGCCTTTTAAAAAGTAGATACTAAAGCTAATTGGTCTTTTAAACATACAACTGAAGTACTCTGTTTATTTCAAAACTGGAAGGTTTCCAGTCTTTCTATACTGTTAATACACAGATAGTTGATTCTATTTATAGTGCATTATACACAGGATAGCTTGCTGAGATTTTAGATCTGGTCTGATGCCAAATCATTGTTTCTGGCATAATCTTCTCATTTTTTACATACACACACACACATGCACATGTACATATGCATTCATGTATGTATTTAAAGTTAGAAAAGGGATTAACAGTAGGGAAAAAATCTCCAAAGTGCATCCTTCAATACACAGCATGTGCTCAAGTCAGCACATATTCAGGGATCAGAAGGGAGTCTTTTGGTTACTAATGTCACAAAAATAGAGTATTGACAATACCAAATAAAAATCTAGCTCACTGTTAAGTAATACAAAGCGGTGATACTTCCTTTTCTACTGACCTTCTTGAAGTACTTTAACAACCTAAAATGACACACTCCTTGCCATTTTGGAAGAGAATTCCTCCCCACACCACCCTCCAAAAAACTGCATGAGCCAACAAAACCATATAAAAGGACACTCATTTTCACAGCAACTGCTTACAGGGCACAAATAATAAGATGCAGTTGTCCCTAGAAAGTGTCCTTTTCTTAAAAAAAAAAAATGCACACAAACCAACATACAAACACAGCTGACAGAGTGCTTCCGAGACGGACATATTGGTTAAAATTATATTCAGCATGTAGTGATTCTGAACTCATTGTTCTTTCTAAATGCAGTATGAAATGCTTTACCTTTTCCTGCTATTGTGATCCGACAGTTACGAAAAAGAAAATTAAATTAAAACAAACCAACACACTAATAGTTCCATGAGCACCAGAACTAAAGTAGCCAACTATGGATTTTATCCTTCACAGTTGACTGGTGTTATTCTGAGAAGCATTTCGCATGCTTGGAGCACATATAGGGACCCTTTCAACGTCACCTCCCTGGCATACAGTAAGGGATGAGCTACAGCTTGCTGCCTATCCTCGACAGAGAAGTGACAGCCTGCTATCTACACTCACTGGACTTACTGGAACACAGTTACACTGAAACATATATTCAATATTATTGGACTGGCCAATGAGTTAAGACAATTTAGGGTGTCCTGACACACAGGGCTCAATCACATTAAGCACGCTCTTTGGGAAAACAAACTAAAGTAAATGTAGACAAACAAAATAAACATCAGGGTAAGTATAATTAAAAGTTTTAGCAATTAATTTACTTACATCTCTATCCACTGTTGTTGCAAAGCCAATAGCTTCCTTCTGTGTGCAGTTGACAGCCTTCTGAAGAGTATAAATAACTTGTTCATAGGTATGGACTTCATCATTAAAGAGCATGCAGTAGTAAGTGTCACTCTTCTCACTTCAAAGCAAGGATTGAATTTATATAATTCAAAGTAATGTAATTTAAACAAATCAACTTCTAGTTTAACAAAGTTTTCCACTAAGCAGACAACTCAAGCCTGGACTTTCTTTGCTATACTGGAATGTATCTCAACAATTTATTTGAAAAGGACTGACCACCCCTAACTTCTATAGGAATGTGCAACTTCCCGGAATAATTAAGTCCAAAATGAGCAAAATCTTAAGACAATACTTAAGTCTGAGTATTATTTTTGAACATTTGTTGATTTATGAATTTATGAATGTTTCCTACCAAGGAAAACTCACTTCCTTCCAGTGCAGCTGTGCTCAACACATTCCCCCATAGTTTCTTTAGATTTCACCCATCTTGGCATTGTTTTGCCACACCCAGTTCCCCAATATTGCATAAAGATCTATTAGACAACAAAAACTTATCAGTCTCTTAAAAAACCCAAACTCCATAATTGTCAAAACCACAACTTATTAAGCTTACATAGATTCAGTGAAATCTTTTGATTCCCATCATTTATTTACACAGCATTCCTACTCCCACAACACAAAGTAAAAGAAACTAACAAGATGTCACAGATGAATCCATGATAACTATGATACTACAATACACTTAAACATTCTGTAAGGCTTCAAAACCTGCCATAAGTGGATCACCAAAAGTACAAATACTTATGCTACCAGAATTTCAGCAACTTTGCTCATAAGAAATTAACCCACCACTTGTTTTAGGATACTGTATTTTACTAACACTTCTTTCAATATTAAGAAAATGAAGGTATCACAAAGATACTGCTTCATCATTGCTATGGAGTATATTGTATTGTATAATCACAAAAGTAAAATATATGAGAAAAATCTATTAAACTTATTTTAGTCCCCTATCTACAAAATATTCCTGATAGTTTTAGGAAAGGCAGAAAACATAGTTAAAATCCGAATTTGCATTTTCTATTACAAATATCTGCAAGCCTTTAAAAGGCAGAACACAAATACCATACTTACATCATTTCGAGGCCAGGCAATTCATTTTCCTTTTCCCATGTTAATATATCTACTGCATATTTAAATGTGATGGCAAAAATATTATAAGCTCTTGCTACCATATCTTCTGGTAAGTGCACGAGAGGATCCTGGAAAATAAATATAAATAGAAATTGAGAAACTGAACAACATTCAAAACCAAAATTGGCACATTTGCACCTCTCTTTGTCAAAGATCATGTAAGAATCTTTAATGATGCCTTTAAATTACTTTACATTTGAAAGGAATAGAGTCAATAATCATCCTATTTTCTTTTCTTCACTAACAATTACCAAAGCAGTAATCTAACGTTCAATACCTAAACAGTAACTTGCCTCTGATCACCCACTTAAATTTTCACATTTTTCTCCATTTTCACTTTCATTGTCACTACTTCCGCACACCTTCTCAGATAGTTCTTCTGAAGAACTTTTACCCTCAGCTGTATTAAAGTCTGCTTTTTCCACAACCCCTTCAAAAACATAATTTGAAATCACTGTAGCTTTTGTTCCACAACATTAGCAAACTGCAGAATACAAACAACTATGCATCTTGTTTTATATGTAGCACACATTTAGAGGCAGAAGTCTTACCTATCCAAGCTTATACAACATCCAGCACGCTGGGATCATCATTTATGATGCACATCTCTTACATGCCATGGTATACAAATAATTAAATGCAACTAGGTATTTCATAATGATCTGCCCATGTCTCAGTCTTGTTCACAGACAGCTGTTCCCCTTTTGTACATGGACCATGTACCTGCTGGTGCCCATTCTGCACCCCCCAGGGTGCCCTCTATTTGATGTCCACAGCAGGCACTACAAACTCATCTTCCCCTCTCTGCCAGACCAGAGTGGCTGCTGCTGCAGGTGGGGAAAGGGAAATGAGGAGCGGGGAGGGAGAGGAGTGCTGCCTCAGTCTGCAAAGTCAAAGGGACTACTTTCTGGAGCAGCAAAGGAGAACCACTGCCAACTCTGAATCAGGTAGTACAGGTACCACTGCCATTTCCTCCCAATCCATCTCAAGGGATTTGTGTGTGAATACAAAACATTAAAAACCTCTTCTCAAAGGATACTTTTACTATTTCAAATTTTTGATGTTCAGAACAACTAGTTTCTCCTTTACAAAGCTGGAAAAGGAACACTACACACCCTGCAGGTCACCTGGACATATATACTATACATTGGGTCACTGACACAATTCATCATGTGGTATTTTGAAGTATATGGAATTGTTAGCCAATTAAAATATTTAACAGTAGCCCAATTGCTGTTTTAGGATTAAATAATACCAAATTCTGTGTTTCACTACAGTTTATGCTGTGTAAAAAATTTCAGCCATGAAATAACCTTTTCAGAACTTAAGTCTGCATTATCTACAGAAGGACCTTGACAGTCAATAATTCACCTGTACTAGTAAAGTTTATCCACCCCACCCCCCTTCCAAGATTCTTTAGGAATATTTGGAAGCTTTACAGGAATGTTAACAACTGCCATTTCTCTTTCTTTTGGTTCATTTGAAACTTATTTTGGGTATGGAGAACTACCAGTCACCAAAAGCAAAGGCAAACCTTAAGCAGCAGCACTGCTTCCATTCCCTGAACTTTCAACAAAGACACATATCTGGGCAAGGCAGAAAACGGACTCCAATAATGCTCGACAAATGATCCTTGATCTACTTTGAACACAACATTGCGTAACACAAGAGATCTCAGTTCCCATCACTCACGGACAAGAAACACAAAGCCTGCCCAGTACCTCAGTTCTTCTGTCAGTCACAGGCACTGTGTGAGCATCTCTGGACACAGAAGTAGCAGTGCACCCAAGATTTCAGAACAAGAGTTTCCTAAGGCTGACAACTAATGTCAGCTGGCACGTAGACCAAGTGGTGAGTCCATGCAGCACTGCTAGAGTCTTAGGGTTGAAATAGTGAGAACAGATTTTAGAAGGGCCACTGTCGCTACAAATACAGTTACAGTTGCTTCACTTAAACCACCAGATCAGCAAAATTACTACAAAAATTTGCCTTATATTTTCCCTTCAAAGAAATCTCACAGAAATGGTATTACATAAGAAGAGACATGAGTGGCTAGACCAGAAGCCAAACTAGCTACTCTCACTACTGAGATTTAATAACAGATACTAAGGGAAGAGCATAAGAAAAGGACAGAATGCTCCTCTGGTCTCCAGCAATTTAAGACACTAACAGTTCCCACACCAAAGATAGTATCTACAATTTTAAATGGCCATCGATCATTTTTTCCCTCCACAAACATGTTAAATTTCCTTCTGAACATACAAAAACGGTGTTTTGTAACAGTTAGACCAACAGCTTGAATTCATACCGCAAGTAGCAGCATGAGTTTTTGCATTTAGTATGTCCAAGTTGTTATGCTATCAGAAATAGTGAAGATATGTTCTCTACTTACCTTCTCCATACCAAACAAGCTTTTATAAGACCCCTATCTTACACCTCCATTATGGCTTTCCTGTAACAGCAAGCTGTTTTGATTTAAAAAGTCTGTGCACTTCACTTTGCTAAGAGTCAGAACATATGTTGCACAGACAGCTTAATTTGGCTTCTTCAGGCACATGATTACATACAGATTTTTTTGTTGTTTTTCCCCACGTGGCAGACTCCCTTCACCTTTCAGAATAAGACAGAAGAACAAAGAAATAGAACTGAAGCTGCAGAGGTGACCAAGAACATACAAAGTGAACCCTTCAAGTAGAAAATGTCATTCTAACTAACTCCTCTAGTTGGACAAGGCATTAGTTTTGTCTAACACAGTGTGGTTCAAATATTACCATGAAATTTCCTACCATCTCTCATGCATGGTATACAAGACTAAGCATAACCTCATATGAATGATTTACATATATACACACCTATATACACAGTTAACAATGTTTTGAAACCTGATGCCTCATTCGTTATTACCTCTTCTTCTGCAGTCTCTGAAGTGTTAAGTTCGTGCTTTTGACAGTAAGGACCTTCTTTCCAAGCTTCCGTATCGCCACAGTCACAGAAACCTCCTCCACCTGATGTTGTCATCTAAAATTATTTAAAAAAAAAAGTTCATGTGAATATGCACACATACACACACATTAAGAAATTAGTAATTATAGCTAAACTACAAAAGCACAACCATGACACCTGATAACTTTAGCCAGTACCCTGTTAAAATAGCAGTGAACCACGTCCGCTTCTACAAGGGCTGAAAGCTTATCTACTTCATCAGTCTGCCTATGCCAAAGGAAACTGAAGAGAAAAAAAAAAATTCAAACACCCTCATTCTGCCCCACCTGAAGGGTTTTTCCTGGTTTTCAGTCTTTCTGAATCTATTACTTGCAAGGCCATCTGTACTATTTCAGATTCTTATATTTTTAATCTGAACAAAGCTAAATTGTTTCATATAGCACTATTACACAGTGAGTAAAAGATGTGCTGTTTACAGTAAAAGGAGTTTACAGGCAAGACAAATTTTTCACATAAGTCTTAGGAAGCACAGAAAAAAGTATCTGAAAAACATAATGATATATTTACACTGTTTCAGTAAAACTTATTTTAAAGCTAAGACCACCTCAAATGACTGAAGTGTAACAATATTCTTTTTGAACCACAACTATTAACTGACTGCAAAAAGAATTCTTCTTTCATGTATTTTTGAAATACAGGTACATTCTGTACGTAGAGGTACATCCTACAGCATCAACAAAATTACACAGACATTTGAAAAAACATTTGCTTACACTTTTGGATGTCACCTAGACTTGCCAATTCACTAAGCTTGCAAACTAAAAACCTACATACAAGGAGCATGCTGATACAGCAAGCTGGGTTGGGTTTCTTGAGGCAAGTTGTTGTGTTTGGGTTTTTTTTCCCTAAATCCTAGTGCTCAGTGTAACCATGCAATGATAGGATTTACATTAACAGCAGTGCAGTATTGTCAAAAAAAGATTTACAGAAAGACTGCACTAGTAGTTTTCACTTAGTTTCTTAGTTTAAAAAACACACCAAGTCTGCCTTGGTTTTGTTTGTACATTTTTTTTAACTAATCAGTTCTGCTAATAGCAGTATATTACTAAAACAGCACCTACAATTTTAGTTTTCTGGTTTAACTTTATGTTTAAAAACAAACAAAATCCTGCTATTGTACAGAATTTGACAACAATTCAGATGTTTAAAGGAAATGAATGTGGTTTCTCAATAAAGGTTTTTCAATACCTTTTACAAATAGCCAAATGTCAACATCAAAGCAAGTAAAAAACTACTCTAATGCCATGAAATTCACTAAACATCACATGTTAAAATAACGTACTCTCATTTGTAAGCTTAACTATTGTGCATAAAATGTAATGGCTTGATATTTTTAAGTATTAACTTTCAGAATTTACACTCAGATCAAAATACTCAAGTTTTTAAGGTTATTGCAGACATAATTCCAAACTTTGTGTTCATCCAACATTTTGCAATTACGTATGCATTCTTAAACTTTAAACAAGGCATTTCATACACATACAAAATTATTAACGACTACATCACATATTCCAGCAGAATTACTAACCCTGTATCGGTGCTCTCTATGAATACTTCCGAGAAAGCACTCCATGCATAACACACAAGTTGGGTCAACTGCACAGTCCCTGGCAACAGCAACAACAAAAAAAGAAAGAATCCGTAAACAAATGTTTTTACCTTTAATTACATATTTTACAACAGGTAATTTTTAAGTATCACTAACACAAACCTTCTGATTAATGTATATATGATTCTAAACAAGGAAAGGGACGGCTTCCAAGGAGGGGGAAATGAAGGAGGGGAAAAAAAAAAAAAAATCTGTTCTCATAACAGAAGAGACTTTAAAATATTGTCTGGGTAGCGTGTATATTTAGGCAATATAGTCTTTGCCTTCAAGAGGTGAGACAAGTATAAAAGCAAGTAAACATATGAATGACAGAACACCAGACAGACAGGTAAACAGTATAAACCCAAGCAAGTTCTCTCAACTACAGAGTATAAGCATTAACAACCTCCAGCAATCAGAAGACATTCTTTCACTGAACACTGGAAAGAAAGATAGCACACAACAGATTAGATCAAACCTCTGCTTCTAAGTTTAGTCTTGCAAGCTCACTGAAGAGGCCTGAAAATGCAATTTCCTCAACCAGGAGATCAGAGGCCACAATAAGGTCCTGTCTAGAAGCACTGCTATATTAGATAGAAGTAATCTTTCTAGCAAAAGAGGTTAAACAAATGAATGAGACCATTATGCACTATATTTAACTGTCTCCCTAAAAAACACTGAAAATATATGACCCTATACAATGCAACTGACTTAAGGCACCTCAAGATTAAGGGAGGCAGGTTTTGCAATGTAAAAGTAACTATCAAGAAAATTAACATCTTATGATGGCTATTATTAAAATAAGAATTCAGAGAAACAACTTATTTTGTTCAAAAGAAAACATCAGAGAGCCTATGAAATGTTATTATCAAGAATTATCTTAATTCCATTTCACAAATAAACTAAACCAGGTAACCACTGAAAGATAATCAGGCAACCATGACTTACTATGCAAAAAGTACCGTTTTCACATTTGTTTTCTCCAAAGGAGCCACTAAAAGCAAAAATGTCAAAGAAAAATTATACGAAGCTCTTCTGGTTTCGAGTAATTTATGTTCACGCATTTCTTTTTTTTTTTAATTTTAAAAAATCAAAAACACTTATTGAAGCAATATACCTACAGGATTGGGTAGATCAGTTCTACAATACTGAGTATCAATTCTTCAAAGCCATGAACCTGTGGCAATATAGCTACAAACTCAGTACCACTTGCAAAGAAATTTCTCAAACAAATAAGGGTGCTTACACCTAAAGCAGAGGCAGACCTGTAAGCTTCACAACTGGACAGAAAAGCCACTGCTTTTAATGTAAAATTATTTTAATGTAAAATTATTTTCTGCATCCCACGGAAGTCTAAATCAAACTCTCGTTGCTCTTCATTACCAGCTATAAGTCAAAGAAAATTACTATTGCACAACAGGAAACATTAACAGTGTTACACCTATGTTCAGTACTTAATCAAAAGATGAAACTCCATCTTGATGGCAGCAACAGCAAAAATATTCTATATTCTCTGCTGACTCCGACTTGAGCAGAAGACTCGACAAACAGCCTACCAAGACACCCTTTTTAACCTGAATGGCATTATGATTCTATTGCTGTTTCAGTAGGAAAATTATTTAAAGACCATGAATATGAACAGCACGTTCACTCGTTCTCTAAATCCTCCACCAATGGATTGCATTATTCTATCTTTTCATCATACCTGACAGCATTCTCAAGAACACACTTTACATATTGAGTTGTTGGTCTTGAAAAAGCAAGTGTTTAGAAGAAATTAACAGAACTCTCAGTTTTCATTAGTCCATATGAAGAGTATTAGGTCACTAACATATTACTTCTAGGCTGCAATGCAATTTGACTTGCATTAAAACACTAGTTCTGAGGTTTGGTTTTTTAGTTCTTTGAGACCAGATTTCATGAAAAGGTACTGAACAAATGCTAAAAATTCTTTTTATAGATTTTGATAGTCCTCAGCCTCCCTACCCAGATCTCTTCATTTTTTCACAGGTGTGAAGGAAGAACATCCGAGATGAGCCTGAGTGGTCTTAGTGGTTGAAAGTATCTCAAGTACCCACCAATTTAATCTCATCTATCTCAAGATATGGGGTCTCAAAATATTTCCAAAACAACCTATTCTAACCGATCCTTGAAACAGAAAGGCAGAAGAGGCAGCTTGCTGATTTAAGTATATCAAGTCCACCCTGAATCAGAACTTCAGCAAGTAAGGCAAATAAGGTATCATGTTTCTAGAAGAGGAGAGCACTAGAGAGTAAAATTCTTCTACAGTCATTCTCTCCTTGTAAATGAAGGGGATGGAAAGCCAGAAAAATAAACCCTCAAAATAAGACATATATTCCCTTCCACCATCACCCCACCAAGTGTTCAAATGTCCAATACAGTGGTAGAAATCACGCAAAGCAAGAAGAATCTGTGACAGAGAGGGTACAAACTCAACTTAAACTACAAATTGTTCAGGAAAGATGACAAGATAAAGAATATATAGCTAGTTATACACGGCTTAAAACTGAAGACTTTTAAAATACTTGTAATTGGTTAGTAATTTCCTGTCCTCTTTCAAGTAAAATGGTATTTTTAGACAGATCTAGAGATAGAGGCACGAAAGGAACAAGAAGCTGGTACACCTGTTTTAGCATCCCATAGATTGGTTTAACAGGTCATCAAAAGAGGTTTAAAATACAGGATCAACACTAACAGCTGATATTAAACACCTGAATTACATGCACATATACCTGCCCACTTCTGATTAATGCCCTTAAATCACATTGACAGTTCACCCCAACCACTTTCTTAATCTTCCATTTCTTTTGTACAGAAAACACTCTACATTATATTAATTGGTATTTTTCCATTTACAAATCTGTAGTGTGTTAATTTTCCCCTGGTCCCACTGGTCGTGAAACACTGTAAGGTTACTTTAAAAACACATTTGAGGTATTAACTTTTCAGTAGGACAGTACATTCTTATCAAAAAATGTCCCATGACTTCACAGATTATAAATACTTGACAATGCTAAGTTGAACTACCTGCAAGAATACGTAGGCTCTCCCACTTTAAAAACACGGCCACAGAGATGGGAAGGTTTGTTCGCTTGCTCAAGCTTTGGAAAACCAAACGCAGGATCTTCACCACAAAGATACCATTCCATTGGTCCCAGCAAAACGTGTTGTGCCAGCATGTCTTCTCTTTGTGGGGCAGGGTTAGGACCCCTGCAGTAAATTTTTGGTACATAATAGGCCAGATGCTGGTATACTTCTTTCTGAAGGTCATTTGCTTGCAGCCATTTCTTTTAAAAGGAATGACAACAAAAATTGTTCATTAATAAAAATACCAAACATAGTTCTATCCATCAAGATGACTTTTTTATTTCTAAATCAAAAATCTAAAATGGCATTGCAAAACTACAAAGCCCTGCTTCCTTCTAAGTGTTAAATCTCGATGATCACAGAAGACAGACATTAGGAAAGGAATAATTTGTTTCCCTGCTTGCACATTTTATCCTTTTGACATACAAAATTCTTTTAAAAAACACAAGATTTAAGAGACCAAATTCTTAAAAATTTTCCCCTGGGATACATGACAAGTAAAATGTCCCAACATGAGCAGTGACTTTTAGGCTAAGGCCTAGACTATGCTGTTTGCATTTCTGCGGAGTGCAGACTGATGCTGCCAGCTGGGGACACAGAGCAGCGGAAGCCTGGAGTTGGCAAGGAACAGGCAAACACAAAAAGTACAACGAGAATGGCAAACACAGCATTAGGTAACAGTCCCTCTCATTTAACTTCAACAAATTACCGACAAAAATGAGGGGGGTTTAGTTTCTCCTACCATCAAAATAACTTATCTGAAGTACTGTTTCAAGTGTGATGTCAGATCCATGAATTCTTGTATAGGGTTTGCATGGCAAGGTTTTGGTAGCAGGGCAGAGGGCTACAGGGGTGTCTGCTGTGAGAAGCTGCTAGAAGCCTCCCCTACATCCGATAGAGCCAATGCCACCAGCTCCAAGACAGACCCACCACTGGTCAAGGCTGAGCCCATCAGCTATGGTGACTGCACCCCTGGGATAACATATTTAAGGCAGGGGGAGGGGAAGGAACCAACTGAGCAATTGCAGCCAGGAGAGAGTGACAATACATGAGCAGAAGAACTCTGCAGACACCCAGGTCAGTGAAGGAGGAGGGGGAGGAGATGCTCCAGGCGCCAGAGCAGCAATTCCCCTGCAACCTGTGGTGTAGACCATGGTGAGGCAGGCTGTGCCCCTGCAGCCCATGGAGGTCCACAGTGGAGCAGATGTCTGCCTGCACCCCACAGAGGACCCCACATCAGAGCAGGTAGATGCCTGAAGGAAGATGTGACCCCATGGGAAGCCTGTGCTGGAGCAGGCTCCTGGCAGGACCCGCGGCCCCCTGGAGACAGAGAAGCCCACACTGGAGCAGGTTTGCTGGCAGGACTGGTGACCCCACGGGGGACCCACACTGGAGCAGTTCATGAAGAACTGCAGCCTGTGGAAAGGACTCACATTGGAGAAGTCTCTCGTGGCACAGATCCCACACTGGAGCAGGGGAAGAGTGTGAGGAGCCCTCCTCACGAAGAAGGAGTGGCAGAAATTATGTGTGATGAACTGACCACAACACCCATTCCCCGTACTGTGGGGGAGGAGGTAGAGAAATCAGGAGTAAAATTGAGCTCTGGAAGAAGAGAAACAGGGACTGGGGGGGTGGGGTGTGTTTTAGGATTTGGATTTATTTCTCATCACCCTGCTCTGATTCGATTGGTAATAAACTAAATTAATTGCCCTGAGTCAAGTCTGTTTTGCCCGTGACAGTAATCGCCAAGTGATCTCCCTGTCCTTATCTTGACCCACGGGTGTTCTGTTATTTTCTCTCCCCTGGCCAGCTGAGGAGGGGAGTGAGAGCAGATTTGGTGGGCACCTGGCATCCAGCCAGGCTCAACACACCTCAATTGCCTTATTTAATCAATTGTAAAATGCAATGTTGACAGAGTTTTTAAAAGCCATCAAACTACTGTACCTATAAGCCACTGAAAAACTTGCAGCTCTATAGGTGCGTTTTCCCTCGTATACACACACAGAGTAAAGAAAAAATCCTCTAGGACAACACTTGTTTTATTTCTGCCTTGTGGATTACAATTTTATAAAGGTTTAAACTGTAAATTAAGGCTGCAAGGTTTTTATAACAAACAAACAGGAGCAAGCACATACTGCAAGCGTGCACTGATTAAATCCTGTGTTACATAAACAGCCTTAGCATGCCATTTCTCATTGTAAATATGACAACCAGACACCCCCTGGCAACTTCAGAAAAAGAATTCAGAACCAACATAGAATCGCACATGAAAACCAAGAATTAATTATACAAAAATAAATGGGTTAGTAATCAAATGTTATAGCTTGATTTACTCAGAATTATTTATGAGTCTACTCTAAAGAACTTATGTTTGAGACAGCACAATTGTAGTAAGTTCTTCAGGGTACAGACATACAGAGTCAGCAGAGCATTTGTGCCATTTAACAATGGCTGCATTTTCGCCTTTTTTTAAAAACATATTGTATTTTTATTTACTAGACTATGTTTTCTAAAGTAGAACTTCATACTAAAAAAACCTTATTTGTCAGTTCAACTCTTAGTAGAATAACATGCTTCCTCACTTCTCTTTCCCTTTCTAAATCTGACTTCTTAAAATTATAATCAATCTACTAAATCTTTCTGTATTGATCTAGCTTTGATGGTCAAAGCCCAGATTTTTTCCAAGGAAGTCCATGGGAAAAGGTTGCCAAAAAGCCATATCCAACAACCTAGAAGTTTACAGATAATCTCACCATTCCCACCAGGATTCAGAGAATACCAGACAAAAATGAGAAAAGTTTTCATTACTAAGAATTTGAGGGGTTTTTCCTAGCTCATTGCTCTTTTCCTCTCCTTTCATCATTTGTGCCAAATACCTACTACAGCCAGGAACTGACCCAACCACAGTGAAACTGACTTAGTCTCTTCCACGATTTCCATTTAACAAGATCACTTTTAGATTATTTTCTAGGGTATATGTTAGTTACTACATCTGCATTTTTCTCAGCAAAATACCTTTGATTTCAGCCTTATAATACAGCAGTACATTACTAACTTCTATCTAGAAAATACACAGTGCATATTAGCTACACTACAAGCTCAGACAAATACCTAGCCAGAGAAAATTCTTGTTCCTCGAGTAAACAGCTTTCCCATCCCAAAAATTCTGGGAGTAGTTGCCCAAAAGTTAGGTGTGGCAACACTGAACGTCATCACACCTAAGTCTCTTTGTGGAGCCAGTTCCACACACATATTAACTGTGCATATAGTTTTGAAAATCGGATCCTGGCTAGAAGAATATCAGAAGGAAGTAGAGACTCCTAGGACAAGGAAACAGATGTCACTCCAAGAGCCACCAGGAAGGCAACTCAAAGTACTGTTGTGCATGTAAAATTGTTACTAGAAATATATATATATAGATATATATATATGCATACGTAAGTTGCACTGCTTTTCTAAATCGCTACTTGGGAGGTACTGAACTCCAGCAAAACTACTCAAAACTTTTGAATTCATTCTTTAACAGAAGCACTTTGGTTTTAGGCAAGTTTTCAATTAGTATTTGTCTATCTTCTAACCTGAAGTCGCATGTAAGAAAAGCTAACGTTCTACTCTCCCAAGAGAAGTTTTTAATAAAAAGGGAAGTGTATTCCTCTTCACTTCCTCCCCCCTCAAACTTACTCTCCTGCAGCAATTTTTAACTGCCCTGACCAAAAAAAAAACCCAAAAACATTAATCAAATAATATTTTATATAAGTAAGCCTAATAGGCCATCAAGGTTTCTAGCAAATGCACTTCTAAGAGGTATCAGAACAGAACATGCAATACAAATAAGCCTTAAAACAACTCAGTTTGCTGCTTCAAAAGCTAAAAGGTATAATTTGTTTTTCTTAGCTATACAAATAAGTATTTCCAATGTAGGCTCATGTTTGGTTACAGATAATTTATTCTTTTGATCGTTGTTCTTTGGAAGTTTATCATTAAGTTGTTGCAACGAGAAACTGAAGCTTAAAGTGCTACAACTATTGCTCTGGGCTGGCATTTGTTTTGTTAATACCGGGCTATCAGCAAAGTAGTGTTATCAGCATAGGAGGGAGAAAAACACTGCTAAAACCCAAGTACGTTGTTTACATATACAATCAGGCAGTGCCAGCAGCATTTGGATGCTAGCACATCGTAATGTAAGAGTGACAGACCTCAGAATTAGTAGCTCGTGCTGGTGACGCCAGAGAATAAAAATGAGAAAGAATTGACTAAATTTAAGTTGGCACTTGTACATATAGTGAATTCCTAAATGTGTTCCACTTGGTGCACATCTGCCTTGGGTTTATCTACAGTGTGACCCAAAAAAACCCCATCTGCTACTCACACAGACAAGGCAGTTTGGGCTACTTTATGAAGTATTCAATGGAATTACTGGGTTTGCTGTTGAGAGGAAGGAATCCTAATCCTGGAAGTAAACTAGCTAGGATATAGCTAACTATGCACATTTGCTCATCTAATCATACCTTTGTGTGCACTGTAGATACACCAATATAATCTGAGGATAATCTGAATTATAACACTGTCTTTTATTTTCTTTTGGAAAGCAGACAATGTAATTTCAATTGAAATACACACAGACAGCTCTTCAAGGTCCTATCCTACAGACAAGTACATGAGCAGTCCCAATATTTTAACATACATATATATATATCTCCAGTTCCTCAAATGCCTAAGTGTCTACATAAGGCCCGGCCAGAAACAAAAGTTTCTCTAAGATCTTTACCCTCAAGACTTCACTTCTCTTCCCTTTCAACTACTCTTCACAAAATCAGGAAAAACGTCTAGACAAAAGTAGATTATTTCAAATAGGACATTGATTTTACTAATATTTCCTCTACAAGGGTCCCATTCTAATAGTCCTAAGCTTAACTAGCACAAGCTTTTGCCAGAACTGCATTTTAAATACTGTTGAGGAAAGAAGAATCCAGTGATGAAACTTTAACACTGCAAAGCATATTTGGGGTCAGACATCCACCTAAATTAACGGGGGGAAGGGGATCTTCTCACGTCGCGACACAATAGCCGGAAGAGAGACGAGAAAAGGCAGCGAACCAGGCAGGAGAACTAAACTCCTCTGCTGTTTGGTGAAGGAACGAGACACCGAGAAGCGGCCCCACTCCCACCCCC